TCTATAGAGTGGTTTTAATACAAACCCAGAGTCACAAAAAATGCCCATGTCCACACCACTGTCTGATTAAATAAACCAATTCTACTGGAACATTCTAAAAGGAAGTACAAGGGTAAAGCCAAAAGCGGTATTTAGAAGTGAAAGAAACAAAGCATCAAGTCATGAAAGGAGTAATGACGAGCCATGGTAAAAATTACTGAATAAAAGAACTCAAGGTATATTTCCCCTGAGAACACACACACACACATGCAGAAACAAAATCAATGCATTGATGCAAGAACTGAGTTTTGATTTTTCCTGAATTTCTGTCATCTGTCAAGGAGACTTTTTTGTTTGTCACTGCAGATCCTACATGAACAGTGCTGATATTGGTCTTCACAAAAACTTAGCTTAGAGAACCACAGTCAATGCAGCTGCTTCCCGCTCCACATTTTGAAGATTAAAGATAATAGAAATAAAACACAAAGAATGATTAAGGGCTCTTACTGGGAGGGTAAAAACTGTACACCAGAAGAGATTGAAAAAACATAAATCTGAGCCGTGTAGAAAACAACTGCCCCTTGAATTCTGTCTTTGCTATAGCGGAAATCGGTCAAAAGGAAAACAGACTCAAGGAAAAAGGAAAATCTAGAGAAGAATAGTCAGTCTGTTCCCCTCTGGACTTATAAAAAGCAGACTCAAATCAAAATCCTTCAAAGTCCTTGAGAAAAGGATACTCTTAGCAGGTTACAAATATAGGAGCTTTGAGAGCACCAGTATTTTCCTCAAGGGGAATGAAAAGAAAGTCTTGAAAAGGTGCCAAAAATCACAATAGTAATTTTGATTCAATATGATTATTGATGAAATCTCTGTAGCAATAACCTCAACATAGTAAGCTAAGCTCTTCAACTTCATTTCAGAAGACATTACCAGATCCATTTTTGCAGCCTTGATCTACCACCTCAGGCTGAGCTTAGACAGAATCCCGCCCTCCCAACAAACTTGTGTCCTTCTCTAAAGGGAGAAGCCTCGAAGTCCCCTTTTACAGTGGAATGGAATAACATAAAGAGATGGACAAGGTCCTTCTATTACTGGTTGGACAAGACCAAATGCAGTGGGGCTGAGGAATCCAGGTGCTATTGCATTAGTATTACTACAATTGTAACATGTCTGTAAAGGGATTTTCATCAATGTCTCAAAGATACTTGAAGAGTAAAGCTGATTAATTAGTGGTTCTACATCGGCCCTTTTTTCTAGATCCTGCACAGAAACACACTCACTTGAGAAAAACATAAGTAGTTTCCTTAACCAGTATTACTATGGAGTCTCAGAACCTGTGAGTTGTCAAAGGTACATAGATAGATGTTTTCCCTGTTTCCATTTTTAATTCCAGTTCAGCTTAGAGGATCTTGAGAACCTGCTGATAAACTGCCACTCCCATTCTGTAAGTACAATGCTCATCTAGCAGTGGCCAGGAAGGACAGCTTTGCTTTAAGTCTGGGTAGACTTGACACTTGCTCAAAATCCTTGCTTGATCTTTGGGTGCAATACAATGCTAAAAAAAACACTGAATCCATATCCTGGTTATATACCTGTTCTCTGTAAAATTGGGTAAGTAGGTCACCACTTAGAAAAATCATGAAATATTTAGAAAGCATTCCTCAACCCTAAAATAGCAAAAGGAAAAGAGACATCCTGGATATTTTATCAAAGGTACAAGACAGGCTCCAGGCAAGATTTATGGGATTTTTTCACAAAGACCAGATGAGTCTTCAACATTCTGGTAGAATCATGGCAGCTTAAGCAGATCTTTAAAAGGGTAATAAAAGTCCTTTTTGCTGACAACTTTTCAGGATATGAATAGTGCTTTGTGAAGTGCAGTTAAATATGAAAAATACTTCTGGAACACAAAGATGGATAATCATGCATGGCCAAGTGTTCTGATTTTAATTCCAACAATAGCCACCATCCAAGCTTGCCCAGAGCAGCCTTAATCAGGTCATAAACCAGGGATAGAGAAATGAAATTGTCATTTGTGAGACCAAAATAAAATCTGTATTTCTGAAAGAAGAATCTAGTAATATTTGCAATAGGAGAACAATTACAATTCTGCAATGTGTACTACATTCCTAATGTTCCTTGGTTCGTGTCAAACAAATGGCACTGAGATTAATGATTTTCAGATTTACTTTGGTCAGTCAATAGTGTAGGAATGGTCAGTTGTTGTGGCCCAAACTGATTAATTGATTCTTTAAGAATTTGATGGGTATGGGAGGAAGGGAACTGCATGAGACAACACATATCCTTGCTTTCTTTAATCCTTCTTGCCTTCAAATAGCAAGCTTTCTGCTGTCTGTTCTTATGGACTGCAAAGGCTAGCAGCTCTGCTGTACTCTTACAGTTCTCAAGTGCAGCTATGACTGGGCCTAGGTGACATGCCAGTGTCTTTAGATGTTGCACAGAAGTTGCTGTGAAGTGTATGGGAAATTATACTGCAATTCTGATGTGAGAATATGGCCCTCCATGTGCTGCAAAATATTACTGGACTATGGGTTGATACACCACATGCCACGGACAATCCTCAGGGCAATATGAGATAAGTTGTCACAGTACTGGTGGACTCTACAACTACAATGAGAAATCCTAAATAGGTAAATTTTTTACTCGACTGGTTAGGCACTCTTAGCTTTTCTGCCTTCCTTCCCACCAGACCAAAAATCTGTATTTCTTTGCCAGTCTTCATACCTCTAACTGAATTTCATTTACCACCTTCAAAAATTACACAATGATAACTACATACAAAACACATGCAACTGAACTTCTTGTGCTGAGAGTCAATACCTTTGACATTAACAATGTTGGTTTTGATGCATGTAATACACCAAAAATGAATTAGTTGGTTTTTTTAAATCCCTTGCTACAAATTCAGCACTTCGGATCCTTCTTCCCTTTGGAACAAAAGCACATTTTGAAATTTTGGAATTTTCCCCAGGACAGAAGCCTTGTTTTCCACTAGCTCTAATCCATGATGAGACAGTACTGGTCTGGGGTACAGCAGTTGTTGCATATGGTCAAGAAGGAATATGAAGGAGAATGCTTAGTAAACGCACTGGAAATATAAAATGGGAGCTTTTACTAACTGCAAAGGACTGGGGTTTATATTATCTCCTGTGAGAACACTTACCCAGCTTTTTGACAATAATATATGGTCATGGAAGTAAATTTAAATTTATTCATAGGCAAAGTTTTTTTTAAACTACAAATCATATCTGTGAAGTTCAAACAGAAAATGCAATTAATCAGGACGTCAGGAATGCACTCATTCAGTTTCCCAAATGGCTGTGTCACTCAGTCACACTCTAATGAAGGCTACTGCCTGCTCAAATGAGGTTATTTATACTAATGTTTAGAAATGGCTCAATAGAGACTGATATTTCTAGCAGCACTCAGATTCAGGGTATGAGGAATACAGGTGCAAGAAAGATGCTATTTGTTATTTCTTAGTCATCAGTTGTAAGAGTCTATTATGAGAAAGTCTGTCAAACATAGCTGAGAAACAAACAGACAGAAACTGACCTGTGACTAGTCAAACACCATAACAAGCACCAGACAGGTGATGTGAAAGTTTGCAAACATCCTGTGATATTTGTTTCTGCTTGTTAGGCATCAGATTCATTAACAAAAGCTGGAGGGATCATTTGCACAACCCAGAAAGACCACAAAGTAAAGAAGTGGCTAAGCACATTCAGTTGTATCACTCAGCAATGGCCTAGGGTTTTGAGGCACCAGACTGGGACCCAGAAAACTCTTGTACTTGTCCTGCTGGCTGACTCAGAGTGTGGGATTTCTTCTCAGTGGGGATTAATTACTTAGCTTAAGGCAGGGATAATGATACTGACCTTTGTAAAGTACTCAGACACATGCAGATGGAAAGCATGTAGCTGTAAAGGCACAGAGGAGGAAGGGCAAACTGTATTCATCCCTGTCATGCAATGTTAGATCCTGGTTATAACCAAGTTGTTCAACTTGCATGTACTATGCCCACCCATCCAATATTTCTACATCACTGCAATCTCATAGGCTGACTTATAGTACTCTTTACCAGCATCTGAGGATGGATTCTGTATTCCTCATAAACCAAGCAAATATTAGTTACTGTAAATCAAATTAGGCAACCTTTCCTTACTGCACTTCTTGTAACAGAATGGCTTTCAAATACAGAGGCCAAGTATAATGTGTGTGCCAACTGCACAGAGTTTTTGAAGTGTGATTTAAAAGGGCCTTAAGCAGTTGCTCTGCTTTCGGTGGTGAATTTCACTTTCTGAAATATAAAATAGATTGAAGGGAGAATACAATCCTCCTAACTGCATCCCAACTTTTTTGTGTGTGTGAAGTGGAAATTTATCCATTATACTGGTTTACTCTATCACCTGCTGATCAAACTGGAGGATGAACACCTGCTATCAGCACTAAGCCTGGAAATCAGAGACTACTACAAAAAACAAAAAACTCCCATAGAAATGGGAGGGCATAGAAATGTCCAGCCCTGATATGGTTAATGCTTGATAACAATCTTGTCAAACTTTATACACCTATAAACAGAGTTTACAGTGATAAGTTTTGCCATCATGCTACTATTTATATCCCATAAACATAGTTTACTGTGATATGCATAGCACTGATAATGACACTGACAAGAGCACTCAAAAGAAGCACAGATGTTGAGATGTTCTCATGCAATCTGTATTACTGCTTATATCTACATAAACTTAGTTGAATAATCAAAGTTGCCACAATTACCATAAAACAGACAAATACAGATTTTTAAAATGTAAAAATGAGCCATTATATGTTCAGTTTCATAGATAAAATATCTCAAATCACGTTGTGCTTTCATAGAAAAAAGTCTTTGAGTAGACAGACACTTCTCTAAATTTGCATGGAGTGTCTACAAAGTTACCAATTCCCAATTTAGTTTGCCTTCTACCCAGGAGTAAGTGGAAGAAAACCAGCCAACTTACGATCTCCTTGACAACGCAGAGGACCCACAGATATCTTGGCTTCAGACCCAGGACGGTCAACGTCTCCAGCCACCACTTGACTCACTGGTAGGTGCTCTTTGTATGACAACATCCCAGTGTCTTTTCTCCTGAATTACAGAGAGAGAAAAATAAAGCAGTTGTGAAATATATAAAAATAATTTCCTTGATCATTAATATTGTTCAATGAACTAAGCACCAAAAGGATAGATAGGTAACAATTACACCAATACAGTGTTACCATCTAAAAACCTGTCTCAAATGACATCAGTTTGAGCAATGATGCTGCCCGTTTACTGGAAAACGGATGGATAGCAGCTGTTGTCACCCAGGAACACAGTCAGAGTAGCAGCTTGCTTTGTGGCCAGTCCTGGACTCAGGTGGGCTTTCCTGCTTTCCAGACTGACCAGCTCCATACTTGTAGGTAACACTTTGCTGTTGATCTCCTTGTTGATGTCTTCTGAGAGGAAAAAAACCCTAATGCTTCCTAGAAATGCATCTTTTTTTCTGTAGTTGCTGCCAGTTATTATTACAACCTCTGCATACCAAGGAAACAGTGTTTCTCTTATATTTAACATTTTTGGTATTATATTGAAAAAGAGAAATTAAAGACTAATTATCTCAAAAGGCTTGTTATCTTAGTCATGTCATTTCTAACACTAAGTGCCTAAGTCCAAAAAATCTGAACTTGTGAATCTAACCATGAGTACACAGCTCAACCCCCATTTTAGTTAGTAAGATCACTAAAATTCAATTTATAGTCATGTCTAAAAGTTCCTCATTTCAACTGCGGTGAGTACCTGGGACCTTTTTCATGCTTAGATCAAACCACTATGCAGTTACAACATTTCTTCTTTATCATTTCACAAGTTGAATCCAGCTGGCCTGTTGAGTGCTGTTTCTTCCAAACAGAAACTAAAATAAACCAAATTCAGTTAGGTACCTTATCTCTCAAGTGCTTTTTCACATAGAAGGCCAAAAATATCCACATAGGAAAAAAAGCATTATATACAGTGTTAAGATTATACTTTTTGACAAAAGAAAGTAAGAGGAAGCAAAATAAATCAATCTATTTCTCTTTTTTTTTCTTTCTTTTTAGCTGTACTTTGCCATGTAATTGAGTATCTAAAGTAAGCAACTTTTTAACCTAAATATCAATTCCTTTGTTCAAAAATACCATAGGATGAAGGATGAATTCAGGATCTGGAAAAGTTACTGAGGTGCACAGCATTAATATAACTGGGAACTGGTAAGGATTTCAGGAAACTGAAAGTCTTTTTCATCTCTAACTCCATGATCTGACACCTTAGATTGCCAACAACTGGGAAGCACAGCAGGGTTCTGCATGATCTGTGGTAATGCTCGGAGTTTTCCAGTGCACAGTAGTGTCTCCAGTCATCACATTGGTCATCCAGACCCTCATTGGGTCCTTCTGAAGAGATGGAAGGCAACACATTCTTTTTAAAAGAAGTAGAAAATAACCATCACATTTTTGAATGACAGTTTATTGGAACTCATGTCTGTACTCTGTGATGAAGAGAGTAATTAGAGATTTAATTACTAGAGTTTTTCAAATAGTAGATGACTGTTTTCTTTAATCTGTATGTTCTTCCCCTTCAGAGCACTTGCCTTCCTCAGTGGCCCTTTGTACTGCTGAGGTCATTAACCCTTTCTGGTTGGACACAGCTATACCAGATGCTATGTTGGTGAGACTGCTACAGGGTACTGCTAGAAAGGAAGGAAAATGGAAGGCTGCTTCTGCAGATTGTGCTAAATTGTAGCATACTGCTTTTCATCCATAGATCACAACTTCCTTTACAAAAGTATTGTATTCATCAGTTTGGAGACAAGCGATACAAGAAAAGGGAGATTAAAAGACCTTTAAGAAAGAAAAGAGTGAAGAGCAAAGCCAGGTAGGTAGACCTAATCTTCCATCTCTGCTAAAGACCTGTATCCATGGGACCCACTCTCTTCTAATAGCAGATAAATGTAGGTCATCACTTTAGTCTTTCCTAAATTTTTATCTAAGAAAGGCTTTCTTTGCTGATTGCTACTCTTTCAAAGAATGCTTTAAAGATGGACATGTCTATTTAAAATAAAGAATTCTTCAAAGAGTGGTAAAAAGAAAACTATTGGCATTTTTCCTCTTTCCTTCCCCTCTCACAAAAAGCGCTCCAAATTTCATATTCCGTATTTCAGCTCCAAATAAGGATGTCAAAGGGCAGCCCTTTTCCTGTCTTACCAATAGCTTTCACCTCCTTTGAAGGAACAAAAAGGAGCAGTAACAATTTTCTCCCTCTACTGATCATGTTTCTACTCATTTTAATATTTTATTTAGGAATATGGTCACTTTAAAGCTGTTGCCATGACAATAACTAAATGTTAGAGTTCTTTTCAGGAATAGTTTTATTTTCTGATAATCGCTTACTTGTCTCATTGTTTTAGGAAATGTATCCTCCCCAGCACAGGAGCTATTGAGGGCAGGGAGTACTGGACTAAGAGTTGAGAGAAGTACGTTGTCTTTTCTCCAGCAGAACCTGCGTAGTTTGTTTGCTCTTAACAAAAAAGGGATAACAATGGCTTTTGGCCCACAGATGCACCAAAAAGACAAATACACTCATGAGAATGAGTGGCTCTCATGCTTTTCAAAGGTACTTGTAGTTCCTCAGGACATACTAATCAGTGCTGACAAAGTCAAAAAAGTTGTAAACCAAGGACTGATTATATAATGCTTCACTTTGTACTACACACTAAGAAATAATCACAGCTGGAACATTCAGTTCCTGCAAGTGATAATGCTTCTGCCAGTATTTAAAGACTTTGCGCATTAAGAGGGTGGAGAAAGTCTCTGAAGTTTTCCCTCAAAAAGAAAATCCCCTTAAGAGAATAAAGATTGAGTTCAGTGTGTGTCATATTCCTATTAATAGCCAAATGGGAGATGAATTAATCTGATCAAATCCTGTAATTATTACCAGGAGATATTGATGAAATCTCAGTGTAATTTTCTATTTCTAATTTCTTTTCCTATATATAACAGTCTGCGAAGAGCTTCAGGGTGCCTTTGAATGAAAGCAGCAGATATTAGTGTAAGATTTATCATTGTTTTGATTATGATCATCTACTTACTCTTTATAAGCATTCTGTGGAATGTAAAAAAGGAATGGATTGTGCATATACCAGCAAATGACATATTCAAAGTAATGATAAGATTCTGTACCACTATTAATTTGTTTGTATAATGATTTCATGCAACCAGACTTCTGTTACTGCGGTAATTTATTTTCTCAAATTTTGTTAGACATCACTTAATTATCAGTCCAGTCTTACACAGGAAAACATATAAAGAATGTACTACAGGTAGGAACGGACTTAATTTTAAAAGATATGCTAACATAAGCTGAGGAAAGCACACCAGTAAAAAAAAAAAAGAGAAAGTGCCTTTAGCAACATGCACTTAATTACAATGTAACAGGTGTTTTAGTTGGGTAAGCAAAGCCTATGTGCAAGTACAACTGTTAGCTATGTGCAAACAATAGTTTGCGAGGGGCTTGTTTCAAGTGGAAAATGCAGAAGTAAAACAGGGAAGCAGTCTGGATATTTATTTTTATTTTAATTTTTGAGAGCACTCACCTCCTGAAAATCTAAACAATATGATGAAAGACCATATAATCCCAGCATCCAAATTACTATTAGTGAAGATAAATTATACCAAAGTCATGAGGCTGATTCTGTAGCAGGCATAAGTAATTCTTGTTTAGAAATTATATAAAAAATTGAATAGAGTAGATTAAACTAACTTAATACACAAGCATCCATTCATAAATAGTCCCACCAGAAGAATGATGAACAAATTTAAGCTACCCTCAATGACAAGGTACAAAAGAAACACTGGAATTTGCATTTAGCAGAAGTCACTTATGTTACTTTCTGGAACTTCAAACCTTCTTTGAAGAAGAAAACAGCTTAAATTAGCCATGCAGAAACATGTTTAATTCACACTTTTTTCCTAGGATTGAGACTTAGATCTCCTTTTTCATTTTACACAGCCTATCCCTCACCTGACCTTTAAGATGAAAAAACTTTAAAATTATGTTAGGAAATAAATATGCTCCTTTAGATACCTCTCAAATTTTATAATCCCAGAACACCAACCTTATTCATTAAATGCAGGTTAATTTGAATCATAAATATCCTTATGAGGATTATATGCTTTAATAGTGATTAGAAAATGAATATTGATAAATATACAGTATATAAATCAAAAACTTGCTAATAAAATGCCTATTTTTAAAAGAAGTTAATAACATCTTGATTTTGTTGTTTTAATGGAAAACTTAAAACACCACGAGTCTTCCAAAGACACAGTGTCAAACAACATTTTCCAGTATGACCAGGCACATGGGATTGAGCTGAAGAATGGCTGATTTAAGATGGCTGATGCTGAAACTGTATTACCACGGAATTTATGGAAGGAGTTTGGTGGCAGTTTCTGAGTTAAGAAGCTGACAGGAAGCCTGCTCCATTTCTTCCCTTTTTTCTGCTTGGCAAGAGATGAAACACAGAAATCTCTGGCAACTCAGGATGAACCTTGAACTCTAGAAGATATGTCAATGCTATCATGGCACTTACTGATTCTGTGTGTGCTACAGATAAGAAGTGAGATACATTGATACTTCTCTTCTTTTGGGGCCCAGCAACAACTCTGACTTTGCTGTTAATTTTTCTTATTTCTATACCAAGGTATTTTAAGAATTGAATCTAAGAATCCCACCATGCTGTAACTTACCTCCAGCACCTCTAGATCTTTGCATCTGTCAACAATTTAATCAATTTTCTGTCTCAGTTTCAAAATCTTTTAAGTAGGACGGGGAATGTGTGTGGCATTTCCTTTGGGAGAATTGCTGAATCTTGTATTGGGATGTCCCTTCCACCTTGGGTGATTACGGAGACAGGATTACTTGGAATTCAGCTGAAGCCAAGAAAAGAAAGTTCTCCTGTGGACCTAAGGCTGAAATGGGATACTATGGGAATTTTCCAGGAAAAATTGACATTGGAAAGGGCAAACAGCTTGCTCAAAGAAACCCTTTTTTTAAAGTTGGTTAAAAATTTA